TAAGCATCAATGTAATATACTAAAACTTTAACTTTGATTATATTAAACATTTACCTGCACCGCTAAGGGCAATCCATATGTATTGTATTTACGCATCGACCCCCTGGGCCTCGAGTGCGATCTGGTGAACACATGTACAGTATCTTCGTAATATCTTCGGCCCCATGGATAGTTGTTGAACGCAAATGAAAAATGTCGATGGCAGTCTTATTGTGATGACACCTCATCACACTCTCGAGGATGTAGACCAGCCCAAGCTTCAATCTATCTAGCATATGGTCGTACCCCCTGATCGCGACCATCAAGTCGGGTAGAAGCACTGACCCATGTCCCTGGAAGTACGTCTCGTACAGCCTATTGCTTCTCTCCATGGCTGCATCGTCGCCTGTAATCCTCAGTCCAGTGATCAATGTAAACTCAAACATCGAGAAACTGACGACCTTCCCCTCGAGGTCGAACTGGAGGGAATCGCCGTCGACTGGCCTCAGAAGCCGACATAGAAGTGCATCAATGATCTGTCCTGAGTATTGCACCTCTCGCAACTGGTACAGTGGCCACAAGAAGGACTGTCGTAGCATATCTCCGTGCTGATCATCAAGCAGCTCCAACACAGTAGTAAAACTCTCAAAGCTACTGTTCCAAGTAGCTTTCCCCGACATCCGTCTCAACTCTGCATCTAAATGATACTCCATCCTACAAAAATTCAAATGTTATTGCATTGAACAAGAGATAACAAAAGAAAGCATAATTTCACAAAATCAAGGGAACCGAATTCTAACTACCATACAATCACAAATATTACATTTGAAAAATATATTTAAAAAAAACAACAAATCAAATTAAATTTATTTTCAAAAAAATTAAAGAATATAAATATTATTTAAATAAATTGAAAAAAATCGAAGATTTTCATAAAAGAACAATAAAAGGAACAAAACAAATTGTTAATTTCGAACAATATTATGTATTCAATTATTAAATTATATAAAAAAAGAAAATTATAAAAATTAAATAATTAAATAAAATAATTATTATTTGAAAAATATATTTACAAACAAAAAATTTCAAATTAAATACATTTTTGAAAAATGTAAAGACTATTTATATTATTTAAATAAATTTGAAAAAATAAATTAAAGATTATTTCATAAAAAAAAAAGAATCAACATTGTTAATTTTACAATATTTCAATTATTAAATTATATAAAAAAAGAAAATTATAAAAATTAAATAATTAAATAAAATAATTATTATTTGAAAAATATATTTACAAACAAAAAATTTCAAATTAAATACATTTTTGAAAAATGTAAAGACTATTTATATTATTTAAATAAATTTGAAAAAATAAATTAAAGATTATTTCATAAAAAAAAAAGAATCAACATTGTTAATTTTACAATATTTCAATTATTAAATTATATAAAAGACAAATATAAAAATTAAATAAATAATTACTTTACCTTTTTTTAAAATGTAAAGACTATTCATATTATTTAAATAAATTTGAAAAAATAAATTAAAGATAATTTCATAAAAAAAAAGAATTAACATTGTTAATTTTACAATATTTCAATTATTATATCATATTGACAATGATAAAAATTAAATAAATAAATAACATAATTACTATTTAATCAAATAAAAAATTTAATTAATTACAAAAATTATAAGAAATATTTAAAGTTAAATATATAACAGTCTGGGCTGTTAACAGTCGGCCCAGACTGTTATGGGCTGGGAGCCGGGAATCGGCCGGAAATCACCATTCCCGGCGACTGAGCTCCAAAAAAAGCTAAAAATCCACATTTTTCACACTCCCAGCATGCCCACAATCTAACTACTCACACCCATGGATCTAATTAAACCGAAATTAGTAAGGAAAATGCTAATTTTACTTATTCAATAAATTTTCTACTAAAACAAAAAGTGATGAAAACTAACCGGTTATTTTATTTCCGGTGTAGATGATGATCGTTGACTGCGACGTTGGTGTAGTTGCTGGTGGTTGATCGGTCAAATTTCTAGAGTTGGTCGGTTGATCGGTCAGAATTTTTCAAACAGTCTGAAGGGTAAAATCGCCTTTTACTGTGAAATTTTTTTTAAACTTAATTTGTTTTTTTTTAATTCATTTAATGGGTCAAAGGCCAATGTCAAATTTTGCTACAGTGGAAGAGCCATTTTCGTGTATTTCCTCAGAGAGAAGGGCATATTTTTAGGTTTAGATAAAAGGGTTGTACTGTCGATTTGATCAGCAATAGATCTAAACTATTCAATCTCTTCTCGAAATCATGGTCGTTAACAGACGCCTAACCAAAATTCAAAAATACATGGATAAGAATCAAACGTGATCAATACACGCCTTAAATGGCCACAGAGCACTAAAGGCCTATTTGATAGCCTCAATTTTCCATTAAAAAAAAAAAATCTATTTCCCACCAAAATGGCATGTTTGATAGTCCATTTTTCCATGGAATTCTTTTTCCACACAACCTAACACGTGAATTGATTTTTTAGCTTTTTAAGGAATTGATTTTCCTTTGTTTTTGTTAGAATTTTTTTTTTTTTTTTTTTTTGCAATGAAAAAAAATTTTTT